CCCCTCTTCCGAACCTCCCTCCCCCTTCAATCGAACCCCCCTGCCTGCCCTCTCCCCCCCATTTCCCCGTAGTTCAGAATGTCCATCTTGGTAATGGTGCATAGGGGCCAAGAGGGATCGGACAAAACATCAGGTCTTGTTGAGAACGGGAGAGGGGGGGGGTTAGAGAAAGAGGGAACGAGAGAGAATTGCAGAGGGGAGGAGGGAGGTTTGGGAGAGGGGCAAAGTGGGATTTGACGAGACATCAGGCGTGGTGTTCTGATAAAAGTTTGTGCCCCTCCTCCTTCGTGGTGTCCCGTGCAGGCAGAATGGTGAAGTCTGGTAGCGATGCCATCAAAAGGCACTTCACAGAGTTAGGTGTCACCGGTAACCCAGACAAAGGGAATAAGAAATGGAAGTGCCTTTACTGCGATCGCAAAGTGACGGGAACTGCGTCGAGGCATAGAAAACATTTTGCAGAGGGAAGATGCCACATTTCAAATGCGCGGGGGATATTCACGCAGGCAGAGAGGGAGAGGAGGTTGCAGGAGCGAGCAGAGGCCATTGCGTTGGTGAGGGGGGTAGGAGAGGTGCCAGGCGCTAACATAGGCTCGCAGTCGGGCATCGGAGAAGCGGAGGACCCTACTGCAAATGAGACACCCATACCTACACCCACATCCACTGAACCGTCGATGTCCAGAACTCGACAGACTGTTTTGCAGGATGGGTTTCATATCGTCACCAAAAACGAGGAAACTCAAAGGACAATCGACGACTGGATGACATACCATGGAATATCATTCAACATGGTACGAAGTCCATACTTCTTGGCCATGATCGATGCTGTGCGTAATGCACACGCATCATTCAAAGTCGGAAGTTTTGAGGAGACACGCACTACACGCATGTCGATACAGCGTGGGAGGGTTGGTGTCGAGGTGAAAAAGCTGCAGGCGCGGGAATGGCCAACCACCGGATGCATGGTGCAAATGGATGGCTGGACTGATCGACTGCAGAGGCCACACGTAAATATCATGGTGTCCTACCCTGCCGGTGTCGTTTTTTGGAAGTCGGAGTGCTTAGTCAGAAGGGAGAAGGGGGCGGCGACATATCATGCAATCTTATCAAAGGCGATCAGAGAGATTGGGGAGAAGTCTGTTGTTGGCGTCATAATGGACAATGCGCCGGTATGTGGAGCTGCAGGGAGGATGGTGGAGGCGGAGTTCAAAGGTGTTTTCAGTGTCCCTTGCACGACTCACAACATCGATCTCATCTTGCACGACATCGGGAAGATGGCATGGGTCGACGCTGTTATGAAGAAGGTTGTGGCGGTTACAAAATTCTTTACGAACCATGAGAAGGTGCGGGATTTGTTCCAATGGCACTCGAAGGGGAAGGAGCTTGCGAAACCGGGCGCCACAAGGTTCGCTACGAACTTCATCATGTTAACTGCATTGGAGAGGTTGAAGAAGGCACTGAAGGACACAATTCGTGACGACGCATTCGTCGACACAATTCGTGACGACGCATTCGTCGAGACAATAGCGCCCCACGCACAGCGCCCGCTATTGCGTGAGGCACAACAGTTGGTGTTTAATGAAGAAGGCTTTTGGAAGCCCATCGAAAAAGTCCAAGCTGCAGCTTTGGACTTTGTCTTGTTGCTGCGCTTCGTTGACGGTCCAGGTCCCACGGTCAGCAAGGTGACCAGACTTGGAAGAGAATGAGTGTCTTTCGCAGGTGCAGAGGGAGGAGATTGAAGAAGCAGTCATGCGTAGGTGGAACACCATGACCAGCCCTTTGCATTGCGCAGCATTGTTTCTGGACCCGGAGCACAGGGGAACTAACCTGCAACACGACAATGAAATTATGGCGGGGTTCTGGACATGGATGTACAGCTGGTGCGAAGAGAAGGATTGGCCGAAGGTGGAAGTGGAGTTCAACAACTGGATTGACAAGAAGGGAGCCTTCGGCACACTCAAAGCGTTCGATGCAGCAAGGGATGAGCAGCCGGGAAGATGGTGGAGGCGCTGGTGTTATGAGTTGCGTCTGCTGCAGCCGCAGGCTATCCCCTTGCTCGGTCAAGCGAGTTCCACATCAGGCTGCGAGCGGAACTGGAGTCCCTTTGAAGCCATCCATTCGTGGCCTTGAAATTGCCTTGGTGCAGAGACACTGCAAACTCTGGTATTTAACCCTTGGAATATGCACCTGCTGACGGGAGTAAGACGGCCGCATCGAATGGATGGAGACCCCGTCAGAGAAGGACGTGACAGCGGTCGCAAGGGAGCGGTCAGACGAATGGAGGGGCAAGGTGGGGACCGGGGAGGACATGAACGAGGTCGACAACGAATGGGAAGATGATGATGCCCCTTTAGCGCCTAGGAGAGAGGAATGCGGCAGTGATGAGGAAGTGCCCGAAGAGGAAGGCGACACCTGGAGGAAGGAGACCAGAGCAGCGAAGTTCCTCGCGGAGAAAATGTTTGCACAACTGCCAACTCCAGCGATCATGAGTCACGAACATGCAGTGACTCATCGCAAGGATGCAGGGCGTCCTCCTTTGCTTGTGAACCCGGCTCCCAAACGACGGCGCGGCAGGCCCAACAATGTTGAAAAGGCTGCAAGGGAGAAAGCTGCACAGGCCGCCCGTGAATCTCAAGGCAATGGAGGAGAAGGGGGCGGGGTGGGTGTAGAGGATGATGATGCCTCCTCGGAATACAGCAGTGATGAGAGTGCGCCTTTGGCGGTGAAACGCCAGAGGGGCAAAGAAACACACACGGAGAGGGAGAGGGAGAGCGAGTGTGTGTGTGTGTGTGTGTGTGTGTGTGAGAGAGAGAGAGAGAGAGAGAGAGAGAGAGAGAGAGAGAAAACTGGGTATTCCACTATGAACTGCGAACTGCTAAAGTCTTAAACACCTTGAATGAATTTTATTACAAAGTCGTGTCGTGTCTTTTTAACTTTCTTTTTTCTTGTTTTTTTAGTTTTTTTTTTTGTTTGTTTCTTTTTGTATTTCAGACTATTTCCTTATTTGACTCTTTCTTGCCTTGCTGCAGTTCGTCCTTTGCAGTGACTGTCGCAGCACAGTCATGCTCAGATGCCATTTAATGGTCATTCATGTCCGTTAGGGATGCCACCAGGTATGTCGTCCGAGGATTCGACCCCGCATGACGAAAAGCTGAAAACACATCGCATAGCTGATACTTGTCGGGGTCTATATATAGCAATATATCTAATATAATATGCATGTAATCCTACTATATAATATATATATTATAATATTATTATTATATGTATATTTTGAATCCGGACCAGTCCGGACATGACCATCCAGACCATCCGGACCAATCCGGACATGGTCCGGATGATCCGGACCGGTCCGGGGATCCGGACGTCCGGATCATTACCGGACCGACCGGTGGTCCGGGTCCGGATTGGTCTGGATTCCGGGTCCGCGGTAGCCATGGTTGTCGTGCTCCAATCTTTTGAAATTTCTGGGGGGAGGGGGAAGGCACGCAGTGTGAGGAACGAGGTTTGGGGAGACGTGTAGGGAGAGGGATAGCGGGGATACGAGGTTCAGGGAGATAGGGGGAAGAGGGACAGATGGGAGAGGGGACGAGTGGGGGGAATGAGGCTCGGAGAGGGAGGGATGGAGACTGGCGGGGAGTCGGGAAAGATAGGGGGGACGAGCGGAAGAGGGTCGGGATGGG